TTTTTGTTAAAACTATTTAATAATAAATTTTTTCTTATCTAGCCTGCTCAAACCAAAATTGATCTTTTTGCAAGATCTGGTTCTTATTCATATACTAAAGCGAAGAATGATAAGCTGACCAAAGCTCTTGTTAAGTTTATTATCCAGGATGCACAACCAATTAGTCTTGCAGTAAGCCCTAACTTCTGTGAGTTCATAAAGGAATTAAATCCAAGGTTCAGTTTACTTGATAAAAAACGAGTAAAGCAAATAATTCATACATTATATAATAAATCTTCTGAGATTATGTGAAAAAAGCTCAAGGATTCTATAACATATTGTTCACTAACCACCGATTTGTGGATGTCTTGTAATAGACAGGGGTATCTTGGAGTTACCTGCTCATGACTAGATTCTGATTTCAAAATCCACGAAGTATTACTTTCCCTTACATATGTCACACTGCCAATGTTATTCAAGAAAAATTAGAAGAAGTAATTGAAAACTGGGGTCTTACCAGAAAGGTATATTCAATTACAACCGACAATGGGGCTAATATGAAAGTGGCAATTAATAAAATGAGTAATATAATAAGAATTCCATGTTCAGCCCATACATTACAGCTTGTTGTTGGAAAGGGTTTGATGCCTGTTGAAGTACTCGTGGCACACGCCAAGTGATTAATTAATTTTTTCATGGCACCAAAGCAAAATGAACGACTCGAAGATGCTCAAAAAACACTATGGATCTTAGATAATAATGTAAAGTTTGATTTTTTAATAAAATAATTAAAATACATGCCACTTAAACAACAACCAATTCATTAATAATCATTATGCTAATATAGGGTTATTAATAGAAATATTTTAGATTATAATAAAATATTCAACCACTCTCAAACTGTAGTGGTTTATATGTTTTATTGTAGCTTGAAATATTCTATTGATAACCCTGAAAAGATGTTTCATAGTTTCTATATTTTATATCATCAGCTATTCAATAACTAAAATACTTTTATTATAGATAATTACTAAAACTTCAACGTACCTTCGTGCAAAAATGGATGTGTCCACTCATTGGAATTCATCTTTTCTTGCTTAGGAATGACTTCTACTTATTAAAGATGCCATCAACATTGTCTTAGCAACATTAAGTGTTTCAAGTACATCTGAAGCAAGAAAAGACGCAAGAAGGTTAAAAGAAATACAATTAACTGATAATGAGTGGGATTTGATGCGAGATATTGTTAATATTTTGGGTCCCTTCTTTGAAGTTACAGAATTACTTGGTGGTTCCGAATATGTTACATTTTTCTATATGATCCCCTCTATTTTAGGATTGATGGATAAGTTGGATTGCTCTACAGACCATTTAAATGAATCGAATAACATAAATTTTGAAATGCCTGACCTAGTATTCGACAATAATGTTGGATTTGTTGATGCACAGAAAGAGGAAGAAGGTGGTCCTAAAGGAAAAAAAATTAAAATCAATACACCTATTGATGTTACTAATATGCAGCACAAAATTAAGAATGCATTATATAATGCACTCTTACACTATTGGGATTTTTCAGATGAAGAATTATTCCTTGCATACCTTCTGGATCTGAGGTTTAAAAAATTAAGATTTGCAACATCAACTCAACAACTCTAAGCGAAAGCTGCCCTTTGAGAAAAATATAATAATATTAAATCACTTCAATCTTCACTAACCCTAACAAACCAGCCTTTAGATTTTAATGAACAACTTTCAGCTGAAAATAATCAGAGAAAATGCCAAATCTATTAAAAAACATTCATCAAATCACTTTTTATACAAAATACTGTTGATGAGCCAATTGATGAAATTAGTCATTATCTTTCTTTACCTGAAATTTCCTACAATCATAATCCTTTTCACTGGTGGAATACTCAAAAGACTTCCCTTCCTCTCTTAAGTGAGCTTGCAAGACAGTATCTTGCAATACCCACAACCTCAACTCCAAATGAGCGACTTTTTAGCGATGCAAACAATATAATGACTGTTAGAAGAACGATGCTAAAACCAAAATTATTTGAACAGATATTATTTTTAAAACGAAACTGTAATGAACTAAATAATGCTTATAATTTATGATTTGATTGAGTGAAATTTTGGAGATTTTTTTTTTTTTTTTTAGTATTTTTAGTATATTTTTTTTTTTTTTCCTTTTTTGTCCTTTTTTTTCTTTTCTTTTTTTTCTTTTTTTTCTTCCTCTTTTTTTTTTTTTTTCTTCTTTATAATTGATAGCTTAAAATGAATCATTATTTAGCTAAAAAAATCATATTAGATATAAATTTCACAAAACAAACTTTTATTAAATAAAAAGAATAGAATATATATATAAAAAAAATAAAATAAAAATGGCGTGGCATAATAAAATGCCTAGAAGACAATTTTCTTAGCATTCTATTTGCATAAGTTTTTTAGTGCGAGCCTTTAATAACCAAAAAAATTTAATATCTAAATAAGAGAATTTTTGTAAGGTACAATAACCTAATGAAAATTTAGATTTATACTTATCATGTGGCCAAGCGAAAGATTCAAGGAAGCTCCAAATAGATCCTAACCTTACTGGATAGAGATTTACAAAAGCACTGCTTTAAGTTTTTAGTATACTAGAAAACAGAATTTTCGAGATCTAAAGATCTAAAACTTGCGAATGAACTAAAGATTGTGTTATAGTTGGAAAGAAATTAACTAACGCTAATCTTATGTAAATTAAACTATTGTTATTAGCTCTGTGATCTAATGTGTAGCTTGCAATTTTAATACTGTAATAAGTCGAAAGAGTGTCGAAAGTATGAAGTAACTAAAAAGATATCGAATATCATTGAATATCATCGAATAAATCGGATATTTATTCGAATTTTTCATCAGTTACTCAGATATAATAGGTTTGATCAAATGAATATTTGAATTGCCAGTTTTTTGACCAGATCAGACCTCTACTAGCTACACAAAATAAGTATTGAGAATAGAAAATACTGTAATAAAACTAGTATTAAACATAAATAATAAATAATAGCAATTAGAAAAAATAAAAGAGAGAATACTTAATTTGAAATATTTATATAATTAGTGTATAGATTTCAGATCAAATATTCATGCTTTTATCGAACAAGTCTTATCCAGATCAGATCTTTATGCCTTTATCAAACAAGTCTTATTTCAAATCTTCATGCATTTATCTTTTTAATTTAATTAAATTATCCAATTTTTTTAAATCATTTTTCTGAATCTTATAAATTCTATGATTTTGTAAAGTTCATTTAACAATTAGTAATTATTTCTTATTTATGAATAGATTTCTTTTTATACAAATAAAATTAGGTGAAAATTTTCATTTTTAATAATTTTTCAATAATCATCCAATGAAATTTTTTTTATTTTAATTCTATGAGATTATAAAATTGAATTAAAAAAAAACTTTATCAAATTTGAATAGGTAATTGTTAAGAAATATTGATCAAAAATTAAAAAAATTAACTACAATTTTTTTTATATAAATACTCAAACCTTGAACAAAGGTTACTCAGTACTTACTTGATCAAATTTGATCAAATTTTTTTTATTTTAATTCAATATAACTATAGAATTAAAATAAAAAATTTTAATCAAACTTGATTAGGTGAGTGCTAAGTAACTTTTGTTCAAGGTTTAAATGATTAAGAAAAAAGCTGTAGCTAATTTTTTTTTAACTTTTAATTAATATTTCTTAACATTTAGTTATTCAAATTTATAAAATATTTTTTTATTCAATTCTACAATCTCATAAAATTAAAATAAAAAAATTTCATTGGATGATTATTGAGAAATTATTAAAAATAAAAATTTTCACCTAATTTTACTTATATAAAAAGAAAAATTTATTCATAAATAAGAAATAATCACTAATAGTTAAATGAATTCTACAAAATATAACAAATAAAGGATAGTTACTATAATATATTCATGGAATTCACAGAATTCAGAAAAAATAATTTGCAAAATTACATAAATGCTTGTTTTTAATTTTTAAATTAAATCTGTATTTAAATAAAAAAAAAAACAAAATATATATTATAAAACTGTAATTGAATTTAAAATAACTTTTTTTAGTTTGTTTGATTAACATATTATTTACTTAAAATTTTATAAACCCACTTACCAGAATGCATTTTTATAGATTCATGTGGTCAATGTAGCAATATTGTACAGATTTTGCAAATTAGATAAATAACATAAATATGGCAATGAAGGTTTAGTTAATATAATAGAAAAAAATAATTAATAAATAATGTTTAATTTATATTTAAGATAGACTAAATCAATATTATGAAAATAATTATATAGAATGAACCACAATAAAATAATATATTTAAGGGCAGCTTTTTGTTCAAGTTACAAAATAAACTTTCAAGCTTTTGTCTATTTTATTAATAATAAAAATATCTATTAGTATCAAAATCTTTTAAATAAATAAATAATAATAAATTTTATTTTTATCTCTATTATAATTATCTTTATAAATATTTCTTTTCACAACTGTAATCATAATTTATTAATGTAATAGTTTTAAATTATCATCAAAAACTTGATCTATTCTTATATTTTACAAAATACTCTAACCTATTTGATAAGTTTATATTAGATATATTTTTTGATATTTGTCTATTAATATAAGAAATATTACCTTTTTTTGAACTTTGTAAAGGCTTCTAATAATGTTGTTGTCCAGGAATTGATACAATTTTTGATATTAAAAAAGAGAAAAATATGAATATTAGTAATAATAATAATAATGAGCTTGATTATATGCTTAACTAAATCTTAAATATAACAGATAATATTGGTCAGATAAGGAGAAGACATGATAATAATATAATACAGTAAGAATTATCAGATACAGAAAGGTCTAAAACATACTATCTTTTAATTAAAGAATATACAAAATAGATCAAAAATCTAGAAAGAGCTGGGCTTAGTAATAATGAACATGACTGTAAGTGGCATACTGGCAGCTCAAGAAAAAAAACCAATGATTAGAAAGATGGTACTATCATCACTATAGGACATATAAAAGCACTTCTAGAAAAGATACTACAAAAAAGTCATAATTAGTACAAAAAAAAACAAAAAAAATGCAGATATAAAAGCTATATCTATGTTATGCTTCCTGTTAGATCAACAATAATAACTCTATGCTACTATTATAAATATATAATCATTATTCTGATCAACTGTCAGATTTATATACTTTTTCCTTTTCAAAAAATATTTGACAATTCATCTACCAGTGTGCTCTTAAAGGATTTGATGCTTTTAACATTTAACAGCTCTTGTATTTTTAAGTAATTAAGCTTAAGGATCAAATTTAGTTACTAGAAATAGATAATTTTCTCAAAATATTCAAAAACTGCAAGATGGATTAATAATAAAAGAGGATATTTATATAATTGTGCATAATGTAATAAAAAATTGCATTTGCCTTGATGTAAATTTCTGAATAAATGGAAAGATAAGATAATTGACACTAATGAATATTGTTTATATGAATATAGCAGTGAATAAAATTCAAAACCAGTTGACACAAGATTCTTATTTATCTTTAAGACAAAAAAATAAAGAAAAATTATGCAACAAACTAGGGTTATATGCTTGGATGATATTTATAGAATGAATAAATCTAATTATTATTTTTTTATGCTTATTATATAGCATTATACAGTGGGAAACAGATATTTAATTGCATTTTTAATTAGTAAATATAAAAAATCAGTAATATTAATAAAGTGATTTAATTTCTTGAAACAAAAAAATAATGAATAGGAACCTGATATTTTTATAACTAATAATGCTGAAAAGAAAATAAAAACTGTTAAAGAAAAGTTTTTTAATAGTACAGTATTATTATATTATTTCTATATACTAAGGTAAAACCATCTTTAAAAAAAATTTTTTTTTAATATATTAAAGTATAATTCTTTTTTAGTATATTAATATTGAAACTTAGAGGCCTACATTGGGTCTTGCAATTGGGTCTAAAACAAAATTTTATAATTGTGAATCAGGCTTAAGAAAAATTTAATATATATAGATCAGACTGGGCCTTAAAAATAAATAATTTGAAAATCTCTAATTAAAACTATTTTTTTTTTAAAAAATATTGGTACAGGAAACTAAACTACCATTCTGGTACTAATATCAATAAATATAAGATAACTATTTAGAATGATCTCTGGCAATTGATAAAAACTAATAATAAAAGATAATGCAAAATCAAGAAAACAAATTACTGAAATAATTAACAGGTAATAACAATTTAATAACAATGCAATAAAAACCTTCACTAATTATTTTAAGTGTTAGTAAAAATCAAAAAAATATGATATGTCTAAGAGTAATTTCCAGAGACATAATAGATACAAATAACTTAATTGAAACATTTTATTGTAAGTTAAAATACATCTATATGAGAGAATGACCAAGACAATAACTTGATAGCAAAGTATATCTTCTTATAAAAACAGTACTTTGAAACTTAGAATTTTCAGTTTTCTTAAATAAATTAAAAGTTGACAGAATGAATCCACTAAGATGCCAATAACAGATTCATGAGATTATAGAAACTACAAATTTTAATCTGCGGTTTA